AATACTAATATTTATCTCACCTTTATCAAATCAAATGGGTTCTCGAGGCACTTCTCGCTGAGATAAACAACCCATGAGAAATATAATTCCATATGAAGGGGAACCCTCGCCTTTGGCAATACGTTCACCTTCACACTCACCCATTCATCAAATCACCTATCCAGAAGCACATGCTTCTAATCCCATATATTCACCAGCCCAATCCAAGTCTGCCTCCATATCGAATATACCCAGATCTGCATACATCGAAAGAGCCTATCTTATGGATATTACCATAGATGAACAACATATCCATACAGATCCCATCAAACTTGCACCATCATATTTATTGAACCATCTCAACCCTTCCAATGGGGTCAAAACCAGAGAATATTATGAGGCTATACTCATGGAAACAGGGTCCATCTCTGTAGTCCATTATTACCAACAGAATACCAGAATAATTGCTTATTCCAAGGTTCAAATAAAAAAGTTACTTTCCTATGACGAGTGGGGTTGCAATCCCGCACAGGGAAAGAAATTGCACAACCCAGATTTCTCGTATAAATATTATAAATATGCCGAATACATAGAAGCCTGACATAAATTCTTTTATTATCAAAATCCAAATAACACATACAGCTGGTATCTCCAATTCCGGCTACCTGTTTTCGAAAGATTCCCCCACATGGTTTCAAAATTGGTTCTCAGTGTGGGGTTCAACATCTTTGGTTCTACCTCTTGCTTTCAAAAACATGCAGGAACAATTTGTGTAATATAATAATAGTGACAATACAATTGACACTCACCTATACTTCATGGCATTATATCAGATCCCATGGATCATGAAATGGGACTATACTATATCAGTCAATAATACAGCCGATTATACCTATATTCCTCGATTGGGGAAAACCATCTCTGTCAAATGGTGGGACATTTTCAAAATGGATCTCACCACTACCACACCAAAAAGAATGCCCCAACAGACACCTAAATACCAGCCAAGTCCAACTACAGCCAATACCTCTTTTGACTTTCCAACCTACTTACGAAATATGTTGCAAACCAATCTCAATGCATCCAAAGAAGAACTAGAAAAACAAATGAAAGAAATCTTTGCTGAGGCAGGAAGAAAACCAGTATCTTCCGAAGAAACCGTACAGTCTTCCCCACTTCACACCAATAGATACCTTCAATTGAGTGAAGCTGATCCCGAAGAAGAGACAGATCCAAAAGAAGACGATCCAGACGAATTCAGTCAACGACCGTGAATAGGAAAAAGTCTCTACCAAGCTCACCTCCAACAGCAATACCAATAATCCAAAAGAGGAACAGTCTCCACTGACAAAGCTCCAGAAGAGACAAAACCTCGCCGACAGAAAACGACAAAAAGACTGTTTCAAGATTCGAAGCACTATACCCACTAGCATATACGACAAGAGGACACTGTTCCATATGGCCATGTCCTCGACAAGAAGCACTGTACCAAGATGCGCTTACTGTAGCCACTTGGGAAACAAACAAATAGAACACTGTACATAATGCTTTTCTGTTTTGTCTTTTCCCTTTTTTCTTTTGTCTCTTCCCTTTTTGCTGGACCACTTTGTACTCCACGACAAAGGACTCCCTTCTTTATTTTGATTCCCTTCCTTTTGACGTGTCACTTACTTCGTCTCGAAGCAAACTCCTTCGCCTATAAAAGGGAAGGACCTCTCCTCATTTCAACAAGGTCGAACTCAGCCTCAACCATCCTCTTTCTCTGCTGCCTTCTCTCTCTGAGTTCTCTAAGTCCTCTCTCTCTGACTTCCCTCTCTTTGAGTTCTCTCTCCAAGATCTCTCCGAGTTCTCTCTCCAAGATCTCTCTCTGATTTATATCTCTCTCTTATTTCTCTCTGACGTTTCTCTGAGTTTATTTCTACTCTCTCTCTCAGTTCATTACCACTCTGCTGAGGTCGGAATATTGCATCAAACATCAAAGCTATCCTGACCTTCATAGCGCATCATATTCTAAGCATATGATCAGGTTTTATCCTTCACCTTTCTTTCTATATCCATTATGTGTGACTGCAATCTAAAATCTCTCCCTTCGTATTTGTACACAATAAGTTTCAGATTTCCATCTTGTCTTTTTCTTTTCTTCAAAAGTTTGTAATAGTTGTATTATTTCAGTTGCTCTGTTCTTGTAAACATTATACAGTTGCTCTGTTGTTGTTTGCTATGATCTTGTAATCATTATACAGTTGATATAAAAAAGTCATTATATCTGATGTGTATAAAATGCAATTTAAAATTTTATTCAGTATAAAGATTGGCGAGTTATCTTATGCTCAATGGTTCGTGATTGATATCTCTATTATCCCTTTATTTTGCTACTCCTTTTTATCCTTAATTATTTCAAAATCTTACAAGAACTTGTTAAATATAATAGCCTCTTATTTACATATTTACTCTAGCTTAGATCAGTTTGGCTACAAAAACAATTACTTTACCATATGAACAAGGATTTGATGAAAAACAAATTCCTACAAAAGCTAGACCAATACAGATGAATACTATCTTATTAGATATGTGTCGCAAAGAGATTGCTGATCTCCAAAATAAAAAGCTCATCAGGCCAAGCTCCTCACCTTGGAGCTGTGCAGCCTTTTATGTAAATAAAAATGCTGAAAAAGAACGAGGAGTCCCTCGATTAGTCATTAATTATAAACCTTTAAATAAAGTTTTAAAATGGATTAGATACCCTATTCCTAATAAAAAAGATTTATTAGATAGAGTTGCTCAAGCTAGTATCTTTTCAAAATTTGATATGAAATCTGGATATTGGCAAATACAAATCCAAGAAAAAGATAGGGATAAAACAGCATTCAATGTCCCATTTGGTCAATATGAATGGAACGTTATGCCATGTGGTTTAAAGAACGCTCCATCAGAATTCCAGAAAATAATGAATGATGTTTTTAATGCCTATCATCATTTCATGATTGTTTATATTGATGATGTTTTAATATTCTCTGAATCGATAGAGCAACATATTAAACACATTAATACTTTTATACATGCTATCCAAACTGCTGGACTAGTTGTTTCAGCCAAAAAGATAACCTTATTCAAAACCAATATTAGATTTCTAGGTCATATGATCCATCATGGAACCATTATTCCAATAGATAGATCAATACAATTTGCTGATAAGTTCCCTGATCAAATACTTGATAAAAAGGAACTGCAAAGGTTCCTAGGATGTTTGAATTATGTTAGTGATTTTTATCCTAACCTTACCTTAGATTCTAAACCTTTATATGATAGACTCAAAAAGAAACCTCCACCATGGACAAATATTCATATTCAAGCAGTACAGGTAATTAAACGCAAGGTAAAGACTCTAGAATGTCTATCCCTTCCTCATCCAACTGCTTTCAAACTTATAGAATGTGATGCTTCTGACAAAGGTTTAGGAGGCATTCTTAAACAAAAAATTGATTCCTTCATTTGATAATATTCAAACATTAGAAGAGAAAACTTATATCAGTACAGATGGTACAACCACTGCTAGTACTCATCCACCTGAGAAGAGTATAATACTAAAAGCAGCCATCCCAGTCAAGGATGAGCCATCACAACCACAATCACTATATGATATTATTGCCACTCCATATAAAATCTTACCTAAGGAAATTGGTAAGAAACAGGAATTAATTCCTCATATTGTGGAGCAGAATAATTATACTAATTTATATATGCAATCTCTAGGTAAACAAGCAGAAAGAATAGAAAGACTTGTTTCAACCAAACAACCTTCTGTTACATCTATACCAAAGGCAGTTTTGTTCAAACCACCTCCAAAATTAAACAAAAATAAATTCCATATTGGAGATAATAATAAATCCTTAATGGATCAATTAATATCAAAATTATCTCAGCTAGATATTAAAGGAATACCCTCTCCCAAAACAGATATTCCTCCTCCAACTATTATTAGTTCACTTCCTGAGTCTTCTGATAAAGGAAAAGCAAAGATACCTGAGCATGAAACAATGATGCTCCAGGCAGAACCCATTATAGAAGATACTATCCAAAATCAAGAAAATGCATTTATAGATACTACCCCCATATATCTCAATAGAATAGTCTATGGAAAAAATTGAAAACCAATAACGGCTTTACCATATCACAAGAGACCCACACCTGTTGATATACAAATGGAAGAAGATGCTATACAACAGGCAATATCATACTCAGGCAGATCCATAGTAAACTGGCAAATAGATGGATTATCAGAATTAAAAATATTAGATGTCATGCGACATATGACAATGTATGCCTCTGCAAATAAAATGGCAGGCAACCCTGATCAAGAGGTTGCAAAAGCAATAGTTAATGGATTTACTGGCTGGTTACGAGGCTAGTGGGATTTTTATGTAGATGATGAAACCAAACAAAGAATCCTCAATAATACTAGACAATGGACAGCCAGAAATGAACAAAACCAAGAAATAATTTATACAGAGAGTGATGCTGTCAACACTCTCATCTATACCATTACACTTCACTTTGTAGGCAGTAGTACATTATTAGCAGCTAGATCAGAAGATCTGCTATCCAATTTACGCTGTCCAACTCTATCTCATTATAAATGGTATAAAGATGTATTTTTCTCAAGATTACTAATAACAGAAGATTGTCAACTAGACCACTGGAAAGAGAAATTTATAGCTGGTCTATCATATTTATTCGCAGAAAAAGTCAAAGAAAGACTGCGAAAGAAACATAATGGAATTATAGTATATTTATCATATACATTAGGAGAACTCTCCGCAGAAATATGTGTTGACGGATTAGCCTTATGCACATATATGAAACTCAAAAGACAGTTAGATGAACAAAAAATCACTAAGCGAAAAGAACTTGGTGACTTTTGTGAACAATTTGGATATTATCTTGATAAGAGAAACATGCCTGACAATTTATATAAGAAAAAAAAAATATAAAAGGAAAAATATAAATCTAAAAATAAAGATAAGAGAAAATATTATAAAAAATCTAAAAGAAAACTAATTGATAAGTTTTCCCCCAATACAAAAGGAAAAAGAAAATTACCAGTATGTTATAAATGTGGTAAAGTAGGACATTATAAACATCAATGTAAATTAAAAAAGAAAATAGAATCATTACATTTAGATGAAACAATAAAATCAAAATTATATAATATAATCAATTATGATTCTTCGTCCTCTACTTCTACTAATTCTCATATAGATCAAATCCAAGATGATGATCTTATGTGGACAGACTCTTCTGATTCTACTAATGTTTCAGATACAGAATCATCTAGTTCAATACAAGATAATGATTGTAGTTGTCCCATACCAACACATAATGTACAGACACTCACTCAAGAAGATAATTTCATCTTAGATATTATAGACAAAATTATTGATCCAGATGAAAAAAGAGCTGTCATTACTCAATTTATTTCTATCACAAAAAATAAAGCAAAATCACTTCCAATAAATAAATCTCCGGATGAATATAATTTTGCTTCAATAATGAAAAACGTAAGTGAACAACACACTTCTCAACAAAAAGAACCCACAATATCGGATCTCAAAAAAGAAATTAAAGAAATAAAAACTGAAATAGTCCAATTAAAAAATAGGATTAAATCATTAGAATTACAACAACTAACTCAACAAGATTCAGAAACAGATGAAATAGAATTTGATCAACTGATGAAATACGAACCCAATCCATCATCAGACATTTCTGAATCTTCAGAAGCTAAGCCACAAATAGTAACTATTCCTTTTGTCAATTTAATAGACAAAATAGTAATACAAAAATGGTTTGTCCAAGTTAAGATTATTGTTGCAAAAGCTTATAGCTTTGAAACTTCAGCTCTAATTGATTCTGGAGCTGACCTGAATTGCATCAATGAAGGACTTGTACCTTTAAAATACTTTGATAAAACTACTCAAATACTAAATACAGCAGATGGAAGTAGATTATTTATTAAATACAAATTATCTAATGCTTCAGTTTGTAACAACTACCAATGTCTTGATACACCATTTATTGTGGTAAAAGGATTAAGCCAAGCTGTAATACTTGGAGTCCCATTCCTTACTTTACTATATCCTTTAACTATAGATGAAATAGGAATATCTTCAGCCATTCAAAATATTCCAATACATTTTAATTTTATACAAAAACCAAAATTAAAAGAATTAAATAGTGTTAAAAGTCAGTTACAAAATAAAGAAAAATTTCTTTA